CCTTGGTGTGCACAGGGAAAGGACCCGAGTTTATTGCTGAATCATTCTGAATAGCAGAAACAGCTAAGCAACTATAACACTGAGCAGCACGCAACTGCTAGTCACCCGGAGTCACCATGAGCCGAACAACGTTTGCTCAGCCAACGCCAAGCATTCAGGGTGAGGTTTCACCCTGGCCTTTGTTCCCAGGTTTCCTCTCCAGCAGGCAGCTCAGGCGGTGGCAGGCTGGGGCCCGCCTTTGACCCTTGACTCTGCCAAGCCCTGTGAGGGGCCTGGCTGGAAAGAGGGGCGGGTGGGGTTCCCGCAGCTCTGCCCTCACAGGAGAGGATTTGGCTAATCCTTTCAGGACGCTGTGCCAGCTCGCAGAACTGCTGTGTGGGATGGTGCTGGGCAGGCTCAGAAAATGCTCTTCTGTGCACACCTGCCCGGAAAGATGCACAGATTTCATAAGGGGGGGCTCCGCCGCTGCTCCCCTGAACTCCCATCAGCTCAGCTCTCCCACTGCTCTCCCACTGAGTGCGGCTGGGGAGCTCCCATCAAGGAGACCAGGAATCCCAGTTGTCAGTTCCCCTCATGACCTCCCTTAAAAAGAAGCCCACGGAGGAATCCGTGTGCCAGGAATCTGGCTGAGAGGAGAGGAAAATGGGTCAGGACACCAGGGCCCGGCCACTCTTCACCACAGGGAGGGGCAGGGGCTGGTCCTGGCAGAGAAGCTCAGCCACAGACATCCCAGCAGCGGGAGGGCAGCCTGGGAAGAGCTGGAGGCAGAGGCCTGGGAGGCAGGCAGGCTGCGGAGGGCACTGCGTGCTCAGCTGGTTCAGCGATGTGTCCTCTGGTGGCATCCATTTCCAGGGCTCCCGCAGGCTTCTCCGTAAACACGGAGCAGGACTCCAGAACGCCAGCTCCGGAAGTGGCTGCAGACGAGTACCCCGCAGGGTCCCCTGCGGAGCCAGCGGGAACTGGGAACCCGCAGAGGTCCCGGGGCTGCAGAGCGGGGCTCAGGGCAGGCCTGTGAGGGGCCCACCGCCCCCACACCATCCCAGCTCCCAGAGCCTGGCCACCACCTGTTCTGTATAAGCCTCTGGGAAGAAGGGCCCCTGTGGGAGGGGGAAGAACTGCCCTGTGTTTTCCACAGAAGTAGAAACATGAGTGAACTCTTAAGACTATTTGGTCTCAGTCTAAAGAAGAATTTTCCAGTGTTAAATGGGTTAACTTACAAAGTGTTTGAGCTGCTTACCACTAAAAGGGCAGAACCACCCGCAGGTAAGAGTACAGGGCAAACTCCTGCCTTACTGGGGAGGTGAGAACAGCCTTAGTATCATCTCAGACGGGAACATGAGAACTGATCATGGGAAATGTGGGCGCCAGCAAAGACAGCACATGCCTGGGCTCGAGCCCGGGGAGGGCACTGTGAATTCCTTCCTTTGCTCCATGCACTGCTGTGTCTGCTCTAAAATGGGAAGCCAAGCTGGGCCCACATATCTCAGCAGGTAAAGTGCAGAGTCCTTGGGCCTGTCTTCTAAAACCATCACGTAGCGTTAACCTTGAAACGTAGGCATGTTTGCAAGGAGAGGTGAGGAAAGTGAAAGAGGGGAAGATGAGAAAGAAACAAACTTCACTGTATAAGAACCACAACACTCTAACTTCCCAGCCATTTCTTCCACCTTCCTGAGCCGTGAAAGCGTCTCCGAGTGCAGTGGGAACGCTGCTGTCACAGTGAGTCAGCTGTTTCTGTGGGTGCTGCCCCACCAGTGCTCCTGGTGTGTTACATTACCTTCAGGTGGGTAGGGAGCAGATCCAGGAGAATGCGGAGTCCCAGCTACATGGGATTCTGAAATATGATGAGGTTGTCTTGGGTCTAGAAATGTCTCTGCTTTGCAAGTTCAAGAACCCTTTCAAGGAGTATGCCCAAGTTTGCGTGGATCCTGAAGGCTGAGTCACATGACTCACACTCATGAAAATTTGATAAACTAGGTACCAATTTATTAATTCATAATGTATTAATTTGTCATGCCTGGCACTATAACTGAACAGATTCTACACAGGGAACATGATGGGCAGATGTAATATTCAAAATATTTATCAGCCTGAAAGGCACGGGCACCAGCTGATTGAGATGGACCCACAATCCATTACAACAGATGCCGGCTGGTTCGCTATTTCAGGTCCTGTTGGGAGGATGTTAGCCCTGGAAAGGGGAGTAAGAGTTAATATTTGAGTAACCCCACTACCTTCCAGACACTAACATAGTATTCTAAAACTAACTGTAGTGAATGTACAAAAAAAAATTGAATTACCATTCAATGTAAATGGGTGACTTGCACAATAGGTGAATTATACCACAATACAGCTGTTTTAAAAAGACAGGGATTGGCAGAGTGTATTTAAAAACCTGACTCAGTGTATGTTGTCTTTGAGAAATTCACTGTGTATATAGGCAAGTTAAAAGAAAAAAGATGAAAAATATATCATACAAACAGTCAAAAGAAAGCAGGAGTGGCTATATTAATATCAGGAAAAAAAGTGTACTGCAGAGAAAATAAAGTTATCAGAGACAAAGGGGAACATTATACAGGATGGGGCAATGGTAGGTTATAGTTGTGAGTATGCAAAACACCGAGCTTATTCTTGTATTATTATTATTTATTAATTGTATTATTTTCCATATGAACAACTGTAAACCTACTTTTGTACTACCCTGTATAATGTTAAAAGGGCAATCTACCTAAAAGAGATGACAATCCTAAATGTGTATGCACCAGGGCTGCAAACTTCTGGGGAAAAATCTGATGGGACTAAAAGAAAAAAATAGACAAATGCACAGTTTTAGTTAAAGGCTTTAATATCCCTTTTGAAAAATTGAAAAAGGAATTAGACAGAAAGAAGGTCAAAGAATAGAAGAACTCACAACACTGTCAACCAAAAGGACCTAAGGGATATTTCTGAACACTCCACCCAAAGGCAGCAGAATACATATTCATTTCCAGCACCCACAATACATATCCCAAGATATCCTGAGCCATGAAACAAATCTCAACATCTGTAAAAGAACCTAAATCATACAGAGTGTCATCTGACCACAATGGAATCGAACTAGAAATCAATAACAGAAATTGAACTAGAAATCAGTAACAAATAAAAGGAAAAGCTCTAAACACTTGGAAAATAAACAACACACAAATCATCTGTAGTTCAAAGAAGAAGGCTCGAGGAAAAATTTTAAAAATACGTTGAACTGAATGAAAGTGAAAAAACATCTTGACATTTGTGTGACACAGCTTAAAGCTGCACTGAATCCAATATTTGTAGCACTAGACGTTTACATCAGGATAGAGGGAAAGTTGCAAATCAATAAACCATGCTCAAACTGCATGATCTCAGAAATAAGAGTCAAAACAACCAGAAGGAAGAAAAGAAAATAATAGCAGAAATCAAAGGAATTAAAAAGAGAGAAAAAAATCAATGAAATAGAACTGGTTCTTTGAAAAGATCAATAAGATTAACAAATCTCTGGCAAAACAAAGAAAAACAGAAAGAAGAGAAAACTCACCACTATCAGGAGTAAAACAGGGAGTAGCACTACTACGCTGCAGACACAAACGAATAATAAGGGAATACTATTAACAACCCTACACACATAAGTTTGACAACAGGGATGAAATGGACTAATTCCTCAAAACTCACAAACTACCACAACTTACCAAATGTGAATTGATCATTTATATAGCCCTATAAATATTAAGATAATAGATTCATATTTTAAAACATCTCCCCCCAAAGAAAACCTGTAGATCCAGATGGTTTTACTGGAGAATTTAAAGAATTAACACCAATTCTGCACCATATCTTCCAGAAAATAGAAGACGAGGGACCAATTTTATGAAGTTAGTATAAATGTGACACCAAAATCAAAGACAGTGCAAAGAACGAAAAATAACACCAACAACTCTCAAGAATATAGACACAGAAATCGTTAGCTAAACATTAGCCAAATGAATCTGGCAAAATATAAAAGGAATTATACACCAAGTGGGATTTGTTCCAGGTGTGTAAGGCTGGTTCAACATTTGGAAATTAATCAGTATGAACCACCATATCAACACCCTAAGAAGAAAAATCATATGACCCAGAAAAAGCAGTTGACCCAGAAAGAGCATTTATTCTTCTCTTTCCTTTTAACTAAAACCTGCCCACTGGTGTTGCCTTCTTTGGAAATGTATTTCCTTGTCCTCATTGTTCACCAGGATCCTGGGTCTTGGTCAGGACTCTCTTAGTTCATTCACATAAAGAGATTTTCTCAAATCCAAATCCTGATTGTAAGGCTCCTTAAGCAAACTGGTTTCACTTTATCTGAGTAACCAGCTGGGCATATCAAGACGTGAGGAGCTTATGCTAAACTACTAGATAAAACGATGTAGTAGCATCCTAATTCCTCAACAATGGGACACACATTTGGAAAATAAAAAGGATTACTCAAGGTTAGAGACACAAATGATCATATCATGTTTGAGAAATAAGATAAAAATAAGATATACACTCTATTAGAAATTTTAAACTTGTACATTTAAAAGACCACATTTAAAATTCAACAGAGTACATATTAACACTAATGATTATTAGGTTTAGTCCAAAAATTTTTTTAAATCATTGCTTAAATATATGTTGTATGAAGCCTTTCAAACCCCAACCCAATTATTCTTGTATTATCAGTCTTTGTATTCAAATTAGTTTTGCAATACTAATTATATATTATTGAAAGAGAAAATACTTTGCACAATTCCACTTTTCACTTTCACTGAGCTAAGTCTGTTCCTGATAAGAAATAGGACAATCTGAGTTTCAGGCATATCAATGACAAGATTATACAAAAACGCAGGACCCAGCCTCTTGATCAACCAGTGACCTGTGTACTCTTGGACTTTCCACAGTGAAAGTTGTAACCAGAATCTCCCTTTCCCAATATACTCATTTGTGGCAAGAAGACCACGAAGAAGGTCAGCATGAGTACTACAGGGAAAGTAAGTACAGCTTTCTTTTTTTTTTTTTTTTTTAGTACAGCTTTCTTTATGTCATGTCACAATTGCGTCCATTTGTGTGCTTGTCTATTTAACACCACCTCATCCCCCAACTAGTCTCTGTACTCCTACAGGTGAAAGACTGTCTTAATCTTAGTTCCTCTCCTCCTTTCCCTTTGCTTGTACTCCCTGTATGTGTTTTGCCTTTCCTTGGTGTTTTCAGTCCTTCCATAAGCAATATATCAAGCCCTATATGAACTTTCCAGAGTTGAAGACACATCCCCTCCTTCAAAGATCTCATGGAGAGACAGAGTAATTATAAAAGAATAATTATAAGAGTGCGCAAGTGTTTTTTACAGCAACACCCTGGAGAACTTGTTGCTGGTGCCTCACCTTCCCCTCCGCCTCCCCCGTCCCCTGCCCCCCGTCCCCCCCCCCGCCCCAGAGTAACTAAGTCAGTAAGTTTGGGGGTAGGACCCAATAATTTGCAAATATTGATGCTGCTGGTCTGGGACTACACCTTCAGCACCACTACCTTACAATAATACCCTGCTTTGTTAAAACAGCAGGGGGAGACAGGTAAACAATTTATCCTCTAAAAATGAACTGCCTTATACTACTACAAACAAACAGAGTGTGCAAGGCTAGCAAAAGAGAGAGAGGAAGTGCTCCTAAGCTGGCTAGACTTTCCACAGGAGGGGACACTTAGCATCAAGGTGAAACATAGGAGAAAGAAAAATATCCCCTTTGAGAATCTCCAAAATATTTTTTGTGCCAGGAGGGTAACTTCAGAGGCAGGAAGTGACCAGAAATAAGGCTGGAGAGATGGATAGGGAGAAGCTCATGGAGAGTCTGACAGACCATGTCAACAGATCCTGATAAACTATTGGTAGCCATAACATTTTTAGGTAGGGGATTAGCATGGTCAGGATTATAGTTCAAATGGCAATGATATAAAGGGTGGATTTGAAGGTGATGAACCCAAGCCAGGTAAAAGGCAAGGTAAAGACCTGGACCACATAGTATCTGGAGAAATGGAGAAGAGCAGACAGATTCCAGAAAGTTTTAGATTTAGATAAAAATTAAGGCTACTTCCCAGGTTTCTTTCTTGGGTGAATGAATAGGTTACATGGCCACACATTGGAATAGAGAGTGCAGAGGGAGGAGCAGATTATGGGTAATGTCCACCACTGGCAGCAAGGGGTGGGGACAAGAGAAAGAAATAATGATGTGTTCATATTTTAACATGTTGAGTTTAAGATACCTGAGGACATTCAAATAGCAGATGAATAAATGAGTCTGGAGCTTAAAGATGTCTGTCCATAAATACAAGCTGTCAAAGTCGTCTACATAAAGGTGGTGGTAGAATCTACAAAAATAGATGAGACCACATAGAAAGAGAATTTATAGTGAGAACAGTGGTGAGCTGAAATCAGAAAAAGAACTACCTTGCCACCAAGAACCTCTCCAACCTCAATTTGCCTGTGACCATCACCATTTGATGAATTGCCACAACTAGATGTTCTCCATTCCCTCCACCCCAAAACTGACTCTCTCCCACACCTAGGATCACAAATAACTCCCACACTGCAATGCCATTCCTACCCGGAGACAGCCACTGGACAGCTTCAAGATCAAAAGTATGGCATCTATCCTCTTGATTGTGTAGCACTATATAAATATAGTTAGTATTGCAAAACTAATTTGAATGAGGAGACTGATAGTACAAGAAAAGTTGAACTGAGGTCCAAGAGGCTACACACAGAATATATTTAAGCAATGACTTTTTTTTTTTGCTTGAGTGTGGAAGACCTAAGTGTATTAAACCTTCTAATAATCATTACTATAGAATCCATCTCCCAAGCCTAAAGCGTTTCCCTTTCTACCCCATTTTCCCTTCCCCCAGGTGATCAAGTGCAGAGCAGCCGTACTCTGGAAGGCTGGTGCACCATTTTCCATTGAGGAGGTAGAAGTGGCCCCACCAAAGGCAAAGGAAGTTCGCATAAAGGTAAAAAGAAAAAATACACATTTCCACACCAAAAATCAGACCTGTTCACTGCAAGTTATACATTATTTTCACAACGTTAAATTCAGAAAGAAAACTACAAAATCTTCTATTTCTTTTTCATTAAACATTTCCATCTGTCTTTAAGTCCAACCAGAGAAAAGGTTAGGGAGATATGGCATAGGCTAACTGCCCAAAGGATATTTATTCACAGCTGCAGTACTAAATACTACTTAAAAGAAGTTTCTACCACTGACCATATTTTAATCTGTACTTTCATATTTGTTTATGACATTCTTCACGATATTTAAATTATCTTGAAATCTGATATATGAAAAAATGTGTTTGATTAAAGATAAATCAAGTCTAAACCCTGGGAGGTCAGGTTAGGAATACCTGTTATTTTATAGATGAAAAAATTTTAATCCACTGAGGTGTAATGACTGGTCACAGAGCTTAGAGTAAGAACACAGATGTCAACAACTTTCCTCAACTTTGGTTACACATTTGGAAGCACCTGGGAGCTTTGAAAAATGCTGATAACTGGGTCCCACCCCAGACATTCAGAATTTGTGATTTAATCGGTTTGGGGTGCAGTCTGGTCATGAGAGTCTTTACATTTCCACCAGGGGCCACCAGACCAGAACATTGTCCACCTGACTTCATTGTTATTATTTAATTTTAATATGATGAATAAGTACTGTTTGTAATGGACTACAAAGAGGCAGTCCTTTTCTATGTCACCTGTGCAATCCATGCCCCTTCGCAGAGTCTTCTCAGGCCTGCGTCCATGCAGAGTGCACAGGAGGCCACATGGCCCACTCACTCCTACCCACAGGGTCACCACTTACACAGCCAGATTAAGACCCGGACTTAAAGGTATACAACCATTATTTGACAAGCTACAAATATGAATCTCTCACCCATGAATTTGAACAAGATACAGAGACTGAGTAAAGCAGGAGATGGTAGGCACTGAAGAGGCTGGAAGGGCTCAGAACTGATCACCATCTTTTACCATATACATAAGGGTGAGAAATAAGAAAAAGTCTGTCTTCAGAAAGTAGTATGCACATGTTGAATCAGAGTGTAGATCTGAAGACAAAGTCTGCTTGATGGATTCTAGATCGTGAGGCCTAACTGCACTTCCACAGTTGGATGATAAGCAATTTTGCAGTATTCTTCCAGTAGTCCCCCTTTTACATGAGCAAATTTCAATAGATTTCAATTCTTGATGAGTGTGTGTGTATGTGTGTGTGTGTGTGTGTGTGTGTGTGCATGCAACTAACCTCACACAAATTTAGAGATGAAGAAACTGACACTCATAAAGAATAATTTATCCCAGGTCACACAGCTAAGAAGGGCATAGCCAGGATTTCAGCCTTTCTGGACCACTGCTCCAGAGTGCCTCCGTTTTAAACTGTCTGGCTGGTTTACACGAAAAAAGTGGGATTATGACTTGTACCAATAACACAACTATAATAGAAGATAGCATCTTTTTCCTTCCTGTGTTCCAATTCCTTCATTTCGATCATTGCTCTTTCTCCACACTCGTACCCCGACGCTCCAATGAAGGACAAAGTAAGATATTTGATGTCACACTGTGGTTTTACAACTGTCTCTTACTGAACCTATACTGACCTCCCCAGTAAGTTTTAAAATCATCATTTTGATTCTGAAATTACCTAATAAAAAAACATTGCATTGCTTTAAACAAATTAACACAATAAAATTATTAGAAATAAAACTAAGAAATATGCAGCATATCAACCTAGAAAAAAAGATTTAAAACATTAACAAGTCTAAAACACCTTTATCTGAGACAGAAAAAATTATATTACTCTTTGCCTTCCATACAGATCACGGCCACGGGGCTCTGTGGTACAGAGATTAAAATGTTGGAGAATCAAATGCAGTATCCCATCATTTTGGGCCATGAAGGGGCTGGAATCGTTGAGAGTGTGGGAGAAGGAGTGAGCACTGTGAAAGCAGGTATGAACTGACTTGGTACCTGGAGTTAGGAATTAGCAGCAACCTGGAACTTACATCAGGGAAATATGAGATCAAGTGACATGAAAGGAGAAATGTTGACCGTCTGTTAGAAAAATAATAATTATGTTATAGAAAAATACTAAATGTATATATCCTTTGCATTTATATTTTGATACTAATAAGGACAAGAACTAAAATGCACTGAAACAGAACCTCAAAGTATAAATTAAACAAAAATGTACACAAAGAAGTGAAGTGTTGAATAATTTATTTAAATGAAGCATATGATAAATAGTCGAACAGTGGAACCAAATAGAGAAGGAGCTCAGAACTGGATCAAATATATACATAGGAGTAAAATGCAGAATTAGGTCTGGCTTTTAAATTTGAGGAGGAAAACATGATTATTCAATAAATGACACTGAAACAACTTGATAGTCTTTGGGAGAGGGGGAAAATTGTGTTGCTATTGAATTCTTTATATTAAAAAAATAATGCTATATGAATCCTAGAATTAAATGTGGGAAAAAAACTAAAAGAACATTGTATTATTTCAGAAAAGAGAAGGAAAGTTTAATTAGAAAAAAAACACAGCTGATGTAAATAATATATAAAGTTGACAACATAAAAAGTTTTTTAAATTCCATTTATAAAAATTACTCTCCCAGCCCTGGCTGGGTGGCTCAGTTGGTTGGAACATCATTCCATACATCAAAAGGTTTCAAGTTCAATTTCTGGTTAGGGCACATACCTAGGTTTCAGGTTCGATCCCTGGTCAAGGTGTGTACGGGAAGAAACCGATCAATGTTTTTCTCCCATATCCATGTTTCACTCTCTCTTCCTTCCTCTCTCTCTAAAAATCAATAAAAACATATCCACTGGTAATGATTAAAAAATAAAAATACCCTCCCCAAATCAGTAAACAAATTTTTAAATGGGCAAATATCTTTATTATATAAAGAATACTTTTAGAGGAAGAACCAAGATGGTGGCATAGGTAAACACCTATACTTGCTGCCTCTCACAACCACATCAAAATTACAACTAAAAGGCAGAACAAATACCACCCAGAACCACAGGAAAGCTGGCTGAGTGGAAGTTCCACAACTAGAGAGGTAAAGAAGGTGCATTGAGACTGGTAGGAGGTGCGGAGGTGCAGAAAGTGCTGGCACCTGGATGTGCTGCTCTTTTAATTGGGAGGGAGATACAAGTTCCTGCTTGCTCTGAACTCCAGTTCTGGATGAGACTCTGGGGGCACAGACACATACAGGGAGAAACTGGACTGTCTGGCATCAGGACAGCAATGAGAGGGCGGCTTTCTCTCAGAGGTGCTCGCAGCGATCATTGTTCCTGCACGGGGGGCACAGGATGTGGAGACCCAGGGACCTCTCTGGTGCAGGGCTGACTGGCAGCCATTGCTGTTTGCTCTGCCCTGGTGATTCCCAGAGACCTGCCCCACCCAAGCTGTGCGCATCAGCTTTTGCATATGAATGGCCTGTCTTTTCTCTGCCTAAAACTGTCAAACTGCAGCTGGGTCAGAGAGCCCCAGAGCTTCCAAAAGAAGGGTCAAGACCCGGCAGCAGCAGCCTGCCTTGCTTCACAGCTGGGCCTCATCTGAGCACTTCCAAACCCAAAACAAAGAGGAGGAATCTGCAGATGTCTCTGTAGCTCCTGCTGGGCGGCCCCAGACAGTGGCTGACCTTGCACTTCCTTGGAGATCCAAGAGCCAGTGTACCCAGTGGTCAGAGTGAGACCATCCCAGATTACAACTCTTCACATCCATAAGAGACACACTCAAGTGGCAGACTCAGTGAGCACCAAAGCCGCACTGAAGCAAGTCCTGCCCCATAAGGGAGTCTCCTGCACAACAGATCTTCCAGTGTAGACACAGCTGGTCATCACAGCCAATTGGCCTGGAGGTCAATTCCTCCCAGTGATACCAACAGCAACCAAGGGTTAACTACGACAAGACTGTGCAAACAACCCACAAAGGGGTGCACCAAGAGCATCCACCTCAGGTGACTGGGGAGGCTGAGCCACTGGGCTCTATAGGACACCAACCACACAAGGCCACTCTATCAACTCAAGAAGACTTAGCAGCTACCCAGTACATAGAAACAAACACAGGGAAGCAGCCAAAATGCGGAGGCAAAGAAATAAATCACAAATGAAAGAAATGGATGAAAGCAAACTACTGGATATAGAGTTCAAAACCATGGTTATAAAGTTACTCAAGAATCTTCTAGAAACCTCCGAGAAATTTAGTGAGACCCTCAAGGATATGAAAAAGGACCAATCAGAAATTAAGCATACACTGACTGAAATAAAGAATAATATACAGACTCCCAACAGCAGACTAGAGGATCCCAAGAATCAAGTCAAAGATTTGAAATACAAAGAAACAAAAAACACCCAACTGGAAAGCAAAAAGAAAAAAGAATCCAAAAATATGAAGATAGTGTAAGGAGCCTCTGGGACAACTTCAAGCATACCAACATCCGAATTATGGGGGTGCCAGAAGAAGAGAGAGAGCAAGATACTGAAAACCTTTTTGAAGAAATGATGACAGAAAACTTCCCCTACTTGGTGAAAAAAATAGACTTACAAGTCCAGGAAGTGCAGAGAACCCCAAACAAGAGGAATCTAAAGAGGGCCACACCAAGACACATCATAATTAAAATGCCAAGGGCAAAAGACAAAGAGAGAATCTTAAAAGCAGCAAGAGAAAAATAGTTAGTTACCTACAAGGGAGTACCCATACAACTTTCAGCTGATTTCTCAACAGAAACTATGCAGGCCAGAAGGGAGTGGCAAGAAATATACAAAGTGATGAATAGCAAGAACCTACAACCAAGACTACTCTACCCAGCAAAGCTATCATTTAGAATTGAAGGTCAGATAAAGAGCTTTACAAATAAGAAAAAGCTATAGGAGCTTTATAAGAAAAAGCTAAAGGAGTTCATCACCACCAAACCAGTATTATATGAAATGCTGAAGGGTATTCTCTAAGAAGAGGAAGAAGAAGAAAAAGATAAAGATACAAAATTATGAACAACAAAGTGACAACAAATACATATCTATCAACAAGTGAACCTAAAAATCAAATGAATAAAAAACCTGATGAACAGAACAGTCTAAGAATGTAATAGAATCAGGGGCATGGAAAGGGAACAGACTGACAATCCTCAGAGGGAAGGGGTTGTGGGGGGTGCGGGAAGAGATTGGACAAAGAGCTTACACCTATGAACAAGGTCAGTGGCGGGGGGTGGGGAGGAGAGGAAGGCCTGGAGTGGGGTGGGAACCGGGTGGAGGGGAGCTATGGGGGGGGAAAAAGAGGATCATCTGTAATAATCTGAACAATAAAGATTTTTAAAAATAAAATAAAATGCAAATTAACTTAACCTGGTGAGCCACTTTATTAATAAGGAGGACATATGAAAAATTTACTCATTTAATCCAATTTTCACATGATATTAAAAAATTTTTTAAATCCAATTGTAAGTTAGAAAACTCTGATCAGCAGCTACTCCTGGCTAAGTCTTCAAAGACATTTTCTCTTGTGCCTTGTTGGTTTAGTTTATAGATCTCATGGCAGATGTATAGTTAGGAAAGGTATTTCTGGCAGAAACTTAGTGAAGTCTCACAATGAAAATAGAAAGCCATCAACATTTTTTTTAAAAACTAGCAAAATGACCAGAGCTACCAATAGCAATAGATGAGAGGGTCTGGAAAGAGAGGAGGTTAGAAACAAGACCCCTTAGGAGTTCAATACAATTGTCCAGACAAAAAATAGTGACAGCCTCCATAAAGAAATTATTTCCTGCTGTGGTTCCCATCTGACCCACTCAAAGCACCAATCATAAAAGGGAAAGCGGATATTAAACACTAAACAGTCAACATTTATAAAGTTCTTTATTTATCAAACCCTTAGCATTTATTAAGAACCAGATGCTGTTCCAAGCACTTTGCAAATACTAGCTCATTTAGTTCTCATCACAAATATATGAAGTAAGTACTATTAACCTCCCCTATTGTACAGATGGAGGTACAGAGGCAAAGGGAGAAAAAAAAAAGAATTCTTTTAAAGCAATTAAAAAAAACAGCCTGGCAGTATCATGGGCAAAGGAAATACACAATCTAGTATGGAGGGGAAAATATATACATATTAAATAAATATAATTTTTAAATACAATGGTAAAACATTGTTTACCTAACAGATTAGGAAAGATTTAAAAGTTTGATAATATGTAAGGTTGATAAGAGTGTAGGCAACCAACTTCTTTGTAGCTTATTATTTGAAAAGTAATTTTATACAACTTTAAATTTGGCAATATGTAACATCATTTATATCAGCGGTTCTCAACCTGTGGGTCACCAACCTGTGGGTCGCGACCCCTTTGGGGGTCGAATGACCTTCTCACAAGGATCGCCTAAGACCATCGGAAAACACATATATAATTATATATTGTTTTTGTGATTAATCACTATGCTTTAATTATGTTCAATTTGTAACAATGAAAATACATCCTGCATATCAGATATTTACATTACGTTTCATAACAGTAGCAAAATTACAGTTATGAAGTAGCAAGGAAAATAATTTTATGGTTGGGGGTCACCACAATATGAGGAACTGTATTAAAGGGTCGCGGCATTAGGAAGGTTGAGAACCACTGATTTATATGCAACTAATTTGGACCCAATACTTCCAATTCTAGAAAGTTGTTCCATAGATATATACCCATGTCGTAGCTTTCTATTGTTGATGTAAAAAAAAAATCGCTGCAAAGTTAGCAGCTTAAAACAAAACAAATTTACCATCTCCGTTTCTGTATGTCAGAAGTCTGGGTGGGTTGGACTGAGTTCTATGCTTAGGGTCTTACAAGGTAGAAATCAAGGTTTTGGCCAGCGGGGTTCTTGTCTGGAGACTCTGGAGAATCCAGTTCCTTGAGGTTGTAGGATTGACCGATCACCCTCAGCTTTTGAAGCTGCTCACATTCCTTCCTATGTGGCCCCTTCACCCACTTGCCTCAAAGCAACAATAGCACATCGAATCCTTCCGGTGCTTTGAATTGCTTTGTCTTTCTCTCCTGCTTTCCTCTGGGGTCCTTTCAAGGGCTCATGTGATCACGGGGTCTGCCTAAAGATTCCGGGGTACTCCCCATTTTCCTGTCAATAGATTAGTACCCTTAAATACATCTGCAAAGCACCTCTTTCTATAAACATATTCACCGTCACAGTAACAATGAGTTCAGTTTCGGGGGATTAGGACAGGATGTCTTTGGAGGACCATTTTAGAAATTCTGCCTACCATCGCCCAGATGTGCACCAAATATTTATTGCATTGTTATTTATCATGTCGGGAAAACATGAAACAAAACAAAAATTTTAAGACAGGAAATAACCTAAATGTCCAGGAGACCAGTTAAATCAATTATGATATATCTATACAACAAAGTTCCATGTAACTTTTAAACAAAATGATAGAGTGCTATATGTACTAAAATGAGAAACCTCCAAGTTATATTGTTAAGTAAAAGACCAAGACCTAGACCTGGCTGGTGTTGCTCAGTATTAGGGCATCAGCCTGTGCACCAAAAAGACTGAGGGTTCGATTCCCGGTCAAGGGCACATACCTGGGTTGCACATTCCCTGGCCCTGGTTGGGAATGTGCAGGAGGCAACCAATCAATGGGTCTCTCTCACATCGATTTCTCTGCCCCCCCCCCCCCCCCCCCGCCAGCTCGCTTGCTCCCTTCCATTCTCTCTATAAATCAATGGAAAAAATATCCTCAGATGAAAATTAACAAAGAAATGCAAAAACCAAGGCCTACCACGGGGTAAATAATATGCTAGCCTTTGCATTTTTAAAGGGGTTATATCTTTAAAAATACCATAGACCCTGAGAAGAGTACTTGTCTCTAGGGTGGGGGAAAGGGAAGTGGAGACTGGGGCTAATCTCCACATTTGTGCAGTTTAAGTTCTTACCATATGTATGTCTGTGTTACTTTTTAAAAACTAAAAAATAAAAGAACTACATCCTACAAAGGCTTTTAACTAAAAATATGAAATAACTTACTTTAATTTACAGTGATAGACACTGGAGCAGTCAGAAAGTCCATCTTAGGCAAGTTATTCTGATCTTCTCCTTATATGTTGAATATTACTAAAGAAATCTACTTACCTTAGTCTCCATGGCCAAGAAGAAAGAACCGATGTAAAATACATAGCACAGCATAGGCAATCCTTTTTCCTTGATCCAGAAGCTTATATTGTGAACATGTGGTATCCATGTTTACAAACCCAATTCCTGACACCAGAAGTTAGTGGGAAAATTAAAGATAAGATTTGGCTTAATGGCTACTATTTGAAGATTCAGAATAAATTACAAAGGAGGCAAATCTGGGTTCAGCTCCTAGGGATTTAGCACTGAGCCCAGGGAGACCCAGATGCCAAAGACATTCCTTCTTTTTGTAAGTATTTCATAGTCTCCACAGTATCAGCACATTTGAATGTGGAAATTGCTCTCAGGAATCATATTTTTTCTGGGTGCCTTGCTGATTACATTTTGAGACACAGCTATCTCTTTACTTTAAAAGATAACATCGTATTAAATGATTTTGTTCTCTTAGGTGATAAAGTTATCACACTCTTTCTACCACAGTGTGGAGACTGTGCCTCATGCCTTAATTCTGAAGACAACTATTGTATACAACTCAAGTAAGTTTTTACTAAATATTTTCTTTTTGAAAAATTAATTGAATGTCCTTGGAAGGAATATAAGCTTGCTAATTCAAACTTACAAAAACTTTTTGTTTGTTTTTTTTTTGGTCTATAAAAGACAGTCGTATACCAGCCTGATGACTGATGGTACCAGTAGATTTACCTGCAAGGGAAAACCAATATATCACTTTGCCAATACGAGCACCTTCTCTGAATACACAGTGATAAGAGAAATCTCAGTTGCCAAGATCGATGCAGTGGCTCCTCTGGAGAAAGTATGCCTCATCAGCTGTGGTTTTTCCACTGGGTACGGTGCTGCAATCAATACTGCCAAGGTGAGAAGTGTTTATACCCATTGTGATTGGAACTCTTGGTATATGGTGTTGATAGGCCTCATGCATCTAGGCCATATCTGATCATTCAACCTGAGGAAGAATCACAAACCTGCCTTGAAACATCCCTGAGTTCTTTACAATCTAGTCACCCCATACCCTCGTCATCCCATACCCTCGTCAACATCTGTCCCATTCCCTCTTAGTCAGTAGTAAATGCCAAATTATGTCTGGATGCCATTCACAAGTGGAGACATGAGGAATTACTGGAGTTAAACATAACAGTCACAAAATGGCTATGTGTCTTCCATATTCCAGTTCATTCTTTTTTTCATTCAACAAATGTTTATGGAGTCATTCACTGTTGCAGGTGTAGGAATTTAGCAGCTATCAAAACTCATCAAGCTTCTATTCTGTTGTATAATGCATCAGGTGGTGATCCATGCTCATGAAAAGAAAAGGAGAGTAGAAAGATCAACTCATGAAAGGGGTGTTGCTATATAAAACAGATTGGTCAGGCAGCCCCACTCTGACTGAGTGGGTTACTGTTACACTTCTGTTTTGGAACATCACCCAATCCTGCCCGGCTTCACTGTTTAATTGGCTGTTGAATTTTAGTTCTTTTTCCCCCCAATTTTCATTAATCCCAATACCATACAAAGCGATAGGATAGAAGGGATTCAATTTAAATTAGTCTCATTTGGGACCCAATAAGAAATAAGCCTTTGCCTTCATAAGGCATTGACAATGTAAGTAATGGAAAGATTACAGATATTCCCAAGGAAAGAGAAAGGAAGGGTTGCAGGAATTTGGAGATTGTTTTAAAGAACTCAAAATATCCTAAATTAAGTAAATACTGAGCCAAATAAGTCTTAAGGTTCAAAGAAAGGTCATTAAACTGCTCCTATCCATGCTAATTCCTCGGTTGAAATATTCTATTTGCAGGTAATTTTTTTGCTCCTCTGGCAAAAAAGTATTCCACATTTAGAAATACCTTGAGAAATTACAACTTTAGTTATAATATGTTTTAATTGAAAATATCCTTTGCTTACATCTCAAAACAGTATATACAGACTTGGTCTTTCCAACTGAGTGAATGTGCGTGTGTTCTCTTTGCTTTTGTTTTATGCTTTTATGGGCTCAGGTGACCCCAGGCTCCACCTGTGCGGTGTTTGGCCTTGGAGGAGTCGGCCTGTCGGTTGTCATGGGCTGTAAAGCGGCTGGAGCAGCCAGGATCATTGGGGTGGACATCAACAAAGACAAATTTGAGAAGGCGAAGCAAGTGGGCGCCACTGAGTGCATCAGCCCACAAGACTTTAAGAAACCCATCCAAGATGTTTTAGTTGAAATGACAGGCGCTGGTGTGGAATTTTGCTTTGAGGTCATTGGAAATCCAGAAATGGTGGTATGTAATCCTCTGAATGAAAATTACCAAATTTCTACCAATCATCACTTTAGATTTTACTTGAATAAAAATTCTAAAACTTCTTCCACATTCCTCTATTTGATTTTCCTGTGCTCATGACATCCCACCTGATATCCTCTGTCCACTCCTACAAATCTATTCATTCCCCTAGAACTCCCATACTGTGTTTTTCTTCTCTCTCCCCTCAGTGACATAAGGGAATCATGCCAGTCCCTTCAAATAAGCAGACAACATCCAATAAGCAGGACAGAAAGGCCTTGTTAAGAATTCTCAACAGATTATTTCGTAACAAGCAGAAGCCCAGTAACTTAATTTCTAAGCCAGAAGATTAGGCAGGACAAGGACAATATTGGATGAATGAGCCTATAAAGCAATGTGAGCTTTGCACTCACAGCAAAGTCTTTCAGGTTGGATCTGAGAGAAGCTTCCAAGGAAAATATTTACCAATCTTGACTAAATAGACTCATTTCAAAAATAAAGGAGAAAGATGTTGTTTTTCTGGCTAAACGTGGTTGATGTAAGAGAATATGAATGGAGAAGAAATTATTTTGCAGCTTGAGACTTGCTTTCTTGGGAGATTTGTAGAAGCAATGTAAAGATTGGGTTGTACGGCTCCACCAGAAGAATGGAAACCCAAGAACTGCCTCCTCCAGCCGAGGTCCTTTCTTCAGCTTACAAAATCGTTTCACTCCTCACTGCCCACAAATCTCCTCTTCTGTTAAAAGATACAGGAAAACCTTTCTCACAATCTTTCCCACAGACAGTCAGGCTCTGAGAAATAGCCTTTCAAAATAATTAATGGGAACATTAGTTGATTGCTTTGCTAATACATGTTGTAATGCAAATATCCAATTGTACCCTTTTATGTTGAAAAGATGTCATCTCTAACCATCAGTATCAGTAATGGTTCTTATTAAAATTAGTAGTAGCAGTAGTGATAGTAGTATTACTACCATAGATATTAGTATTTTAATTGTTAAATTTCTATCTGTTTAATCTAAAATGCCAAATACTATACATACTTGGCAGTACACAATATCTTATTCATGTTTCAGCATATCCTTGTAAGAAAAATGTTATTTCAAATGAGGACAGAGAGAACCATAAACGAAGGTCACAGACCATTCAGCAGTCAAGCTGAGATTTAGACTAAGTCTCTACCTCTGAGGCACATCTTTTAACCCCTGCATTGTCTTGCATTGCTTTCCAACAGGCAGCTGCCCTGGCCTCATGCCATGAGAGCCATGGAGTCTGCGTGATTGTTGGGCTCTTGGATTATGGTGTCCAGCTCAACATCAATGGCTACTTGTTCTTCTCGGGACGTTCTTTGAAGGGATCTGTTTTTGGAGGTATGGATGAAGCAAGGAAGAGTGGAAATGTGTGGGGGTTTGGAGATGGCATAATAGATAAATATATCATAAATGCTTGAGAAGGCACATAAAACAAGAGCTTTAGACTACAGTTTTTGTTTCAACACAAATATCCAATACAGGGAGATGGATATTGGATATCTACAGTTGTCTCTTGGTAAGCTTTTTCTCGCAGAGAGAGAGAAAAGACTTTAAAAAATTGATTGGGGAAGAAGCCAATGTCCAAAGTTTAATGCAAATTCTAAACTGAAAAGGAAAGGCAATTTTGTGATCAATAACTATACTTCAATTGAGTTATATACCTGCCAACTGGCGTTCTTTGAAGGATATATTGAACCATTAGCGGTCATTGTTCAACAATGTAAATCTTATATGAAACAACTGAGTTGTCATTATATCAACTCAAATTATATTAAACATAATAGATTTATGACTAAAAAGAAATACTACTGATAACAAGAAAATAAGATTTATTTTTTGAGAAAAAATCATAAAGTACTTTGATTTTTACATTATTTTAAAATTTTATATATTTTAGAAGTCTTTTATGAAAAAGAATAAAGAAGCTAAATTAAATAAATCTGTTTAGGATCCTGTGCTTATAAACAACTAATCTGATATTTAAGAAAAAATATATTTAGCCAGAGATTTTTGGGCAATCTGAATTCTTGGGCAAAAGAGATGAGAATTAGGAACCATCTGCATTATTTAGACTAGTGAGCTAGCTGTGGCCTCCAAATTAGCTATGGTAGGGTTTTCTTACAGGTATTTTACAAAAAGTAGATAAATGACAGAGCCAGGGGAAAAGGCAAAAATCCAGTTTAGACTGTATTTCCAGTTCCTCCATTTGGGATCATTGGACAAACACACTGTTGTTTCCCTCTACTGTGTTTACAGACAACTGCTGATTACAAATACATATACTCAGCTAACTCTTGTAAAATAAGGTCACCAATATTTTAAATAATCCTCATAAAGAAACTATGTCACTGGCTACTTAAACATTCACATAATTATCATTAGGTTAATTCCTTTCTCTGGTTCAATAGTTTTCAATTAAAGGTAGCATTAAATGGGTGTTGAATAGGCCTGCTAAACTTCCTGCAATATACACTAGGAAGACTTTTCCCATCCAAAATGCCATTACTGCTATTGTTAAGAAACACTGCCTGGCCTAGTCTGTGTTCCTGGGGCCTTCCTTTTTGGATTGTTTGGTTGAAAGAAGAAACAAAACAAAACAAAACAAAAAAAGTGAAAGTGTTCCTTATATAGATATGAAAATGCTTTATCATATCACCAAGCAAAACATAAAAACAAAGACAGTAGATCTTAAAAACTGTCATCACAAGAAAAAAAAAATTGTAACTGTGTGGTGATGAATGTTAACTAAACTTAGTTTAATAGTAATCATTTCACAATATATACATACATCAAATCATTATAGTGTACGCTGAAAACTAATACAATGTTATATGTCAGTGATATCTCAATTTTTGAAAAAAAGATTAAGACAAATAGAAAAATACACTAGCCCTTCATGCCATGACATATAGCACATTAGAATTCTTGATTATATATATCAGAGACCAACTTAAATGCAAAATACATTCCTTGGAATAGTTTTAGGTAATTTGGGGAATAGGTGGGAAGACTGAAGAACGTGGCCCAGGCTGGAACCAAGAAAAGCACGTAAATGCCAAGATCCCGTCAAAGGATGAGCTGCTTAGGACACTTGCTTCCTTGCACAATTACACCACACTCACCCCTCCCAGAAACAAGCAGACCACCACTTCTGCGTGGTGACTTGCTGGCATGTCGCTTAGCACAGTCCTAAATGTAAAAATAGTATTTTTTGAAAATTATGAAAACAGAGAAAATACTACGCTAAGTTTCTGTTCCCTTGGCTGACCCCACCTTTCCCTGTGCCATTCTTACTTCCAGAAAAAACATTTTATTCTTATCTTGCTGTGTACACATTCTTTTTTCCAAAAACTGTCACTGAGATCACTGCCATGCGGAAATTCTTCTCTTCCCTTAAGATATTTGGCTCTTTCATGAAACTGCAGACCAAAACAACACACGAAATGTCCTATTCCTGACCTTTGAATTGCTTTCTTTCATAGTTCCCAAGACTTTGGCCTTGTTTTTTTGTTTTTGTTTTTTGTTTTTGTTTTTTGTATAGGATATCCTCCAAAAAAATGTATTCACACACTTTGAATAATTATAAAGGCAGTGTTTATTAAAATACATTTCCTTTTCAAAATTGAGCTATCAGCTCTTAAAGTGTAAATACTCTTTTTGGGGACACCCTGTACATTAGATGTGGGCTCCCAGCTCCCAGGCAGTGCAACCTGACACCAAAACATCTGAGATAAGGTCCACAGTCCACTTGCTTTCAGTAAATTCTCTATAGCACCAGAGGTCTCAAGACTTTCAGGAGAACAGGGTATATGTTTGGGACAGGGATTCTCCTGATGACTGAGACAAGTTAATGGGAAATCCTTAGATTTCCTCAGTCAAAGCCAACACCTCCAGCAGTTCACCTGGCCCTTCGTGTAGAGTGAGTCTCATGAATAAAATCTCTTGTTAATCTGTTGTATTTCCAGGCTGGAAAAGCAGAGAGAGCGTCTCTAGACTGGTTTCAGATTATATGGCAAAGAAGTTTAATCTAGATCCACTGATTACCCATACTATGAAGCTTGATAAAATCAACGAAGCCGTTGAATTCATGAAAACCGGAAAATGGCAAGTTCTTCCGCTAACCTTTATGTCTGAGTGTTTGGGGCAAGGGAAAGGGGTGTGGGAGTCGGAGGCAGGGAAGGGAAGTCGTGGCTGGTGAACCACATGCAGACAAGCGAAGAAGGTTTCAGGAGTCTGTAAAGCATCTCCTCTCCCTCTTTAATTTATTCCCAGTCTATCAATGTAATCCTTAAAATATTTAAGTGCTCATCTACCCTTACCATTCGTATTTTATTTCCAAGTTGGCATTTTTTATATGACACATTAACCAATGAGTTTAGCTCAAGTTTGAGTTCATAGGTTATGAAGAGGCCATAGTTGTTCTATTTCCAAGGGGGAAATTATCCCTAGAATTCTAAATTCTGACACCTATCTTTGGCCCACAAACAGAACTCCAGCCATCAACTGGACACTGGCCTTCCCCACAGGGTACAGACCTGCTTACATGTTCCTCACCCTTGGAGCTGGGTGTCATTTTGAAAAGAAAATCTCACACTGATTTAATCTCTCCATTTTTCACATAACATGAACAGAAGGAATCTAACTTACTTACTGGTCTACAAAGTGAAAATATGAAATCCCAAACACAAATGTTGCTTTAGAAATGTTTCAACTTATTTTTTTCTTTCTTTTCTTTTCTTTTTCAGTATTCGCTGTGTCCTATTATTTTAAGTACAATGTAATGAACGCAAGACCTGCGGCATATTTCACCAACTAAATTGCATCCTGTAAAACTTCCATGACTTAGAAGAATTATCCACATAGCGCTGTTTCTATGTTCTTGCCTCTGATTCATTCAGTAGTGGGCTCATATCTGACTTCTGCTCTCAACACCTCATCAAAATTGGTCTTATGTCACCCAATCCCACCCAGGAACGTCTCCCTGTTAGAGCTAGTTTAGGGTTGATTTGAATCACCCAATTCCAAACCCTTCAAACAAACAGTCACCCCAAGATACTCCCATTTTCATAGTTGCCTCTACCTCTGGGCCCCTGTTTCTTTGCACACTATGTCTCTCAACCCCATGAAACTCCACTCATTTCACACCGAAGAAACAAAACTCACCACTCATGAGTTTATTGAACATTCAGGTTAAAGCAAGCTGGTGGGGGGAAGGGGACTTTATTACATCAACTTAAATAAATCCCAGTTAAACACTAAGTACTTCATTCTCAGTATTACTCACCCCAGAGAAACTTCTACTGGTGTTTCATCTTATATAACCCAGCCTCAAACCATCACTTAAAATACTTCTATGGCACTCACCTCTTCTCTCGTGGATTGCCAAAGGAACTTTAAGTTCTTCTTTAATTGGCCAGGACAATTTAGCTCGCAGCAGTTTGTGTCACCTGTCTTCATAGCCAAGCCATCTAAAATTCAGCAGGAAGAAAAAGGGGCTTGAAAGAAAAGGGGCGTCATTAATTACCAGGATCCATGCGTCCTAGGAGGCCGCTGTGGTATTAAACAATAAAACTGGCTTTTATTCCACTTTCCAAGGGAAGAGGGGATAGTGTGTAGTTACTACTAATGTGTATCATAGTTTCTTTCCTTCAAGAAGTAGATGAGATAAAGACAAGATCCAGCAGTGATTTGTGGCATCCAATCGCTCTCTACCCCTGTCCCTTCTCTGCCCTACTCCTTCGTAATGCTCCTAGAACCTGGGTTAAGATTGAGCCCTCGTGGGATATGACTTCTTCCCTATTCCCCAGATAGTCTCTTTCAAACCCTCTTCTCCAGCACACACACCAGAGCTCCCTTCCTAGTTAAGGTCACTTCTGCTGCAGTTTGGGCTCCCCTAGATCTGAAGCCCCTAGATCAGACGGGCGTCCCGTGGGTCAGCAGACCTCAACAGACCTCGGGAAACCAGGAGAGGAGATGTCATGTCTTACCTAGTCCAGTCGCTTCCTGATTTAAGATCAGCCAGAAAGGTGAGCTACATCCCTAGCCTATCTCTGCAGTCACGGCTACCACAGGTGTCAAAAGGCTCTCATGAGACTCTGATTCCCACACTGAGAAGAAGCATCATGAGGTGGGCACCCTGCCTTTCCTTCAGGGTACCTGCCTCCTACAAATAGAGGGGATAGGTGCTATCAGACGTATTCTTTCTCTTCCAAACTGTGTCACCAGTGGGAGCAAGGGCTCTCCTTCAACCCTTAGCCTCCAGCAGAACCCTTCGAGTCCTAATGAGAGAACGGACAACTAAGCAAGGAAAAATGATTAACTTCAATGCCAACTAGTAATTTGTTTTTGCACCTGACATGCTGTTTATTCTCAACGCTTTATGCAAGCACAGATGTATCTAAGGCCTTCCCTCCTCCCACCTAGGAATACAAAATGGCTTGTATATTGGTTTTATTCAACCTGCTGTCTGCATTAGAATCAGAGAAGGGCCTGGCTCCCAGTGGACTGCCACTGCTGGCGGCCCCCTCTCTGATCATCATAAAGAGTATTTTAACAAAGACAGAGGGTTCAGAATAGGGCATGCCCTACCAGGATGCCTCTGCCGACAAGGAAGTGGCACTCTCCTTCTCCATCTCGCCAAGTCTGAGCAGGACGCCCAACTCTGCTCTGCTCTGCTCTGTGCCTCTATTCCCTGAGGGCAGCTCAGCATGCCCCTGCCCTGCTGTGGGAATTAACCTTACTAACACTGAGAACTTGGAGAAGTCTTCAGGTCTTGGGGGGGTCTGAGTCTGCCCAAAAATGTTTTGCTGTCAACAGCACCTACATTCTACCCCAATAAAGCCCACTTCTTTAAGCTGCTTCGAATGTCTCTTTAAGTTGTAGCGCATTGCAAAACTCTGTATCCAGTCACAAATGCAGACTTTTTCTCCTTTCTGTTGATACATGGCCAGAAATATTACACGAGTTCAGGTGATGACCCACATCATTGTATACCCATCCACTGTCGCTGTTGGCCACAGAGGGAAAGAATTCATGAAAATATTAAAAAGGCTAGAAAAATTAAATGTTACAGAGAAATTTTTTAAAAATTATTTGTTACAAATGAAACCACTAACAACTTGCAAAAAAACAGTTTTAATTAAAAGATAGAAATGAAAAAGAAGTTAAGAAGTGAAACGTGGGAGTGAGAAAGTAGAAGCAAAGAGTATAAATTATACTTCCAAACAGTATACTAGAAAAATTTAATTCTTCTACAATAAAATATCACTTAAAGTCTGGAAGAGATAGTGGAATACTATGGGATTAAAAAGAAATGGTATAAAGAAAAACACGCTGACAAAGATGGCAAAATACATTGTCAAACTTTTAAAAATATGTACAACAAAGAACACTTGCAAATACTAATATCAAGCCTCAAAGTATGTAAAGCAAAAAGTAGGAAAAGGCCCTGGCTGGTGTGGCTCCGTGGTTAGAGCTTCGACCAGCACACAAAAGGGTCATGAGTTTGATTCACAGTCAAGGGCACAGACCTAGGTTGCAGGTTTGATCCCCAGACTCACATGGAGTGAATTAAGGAGGCAACCAATCGATGTGTCTCTCTCACATTGATGTCCCTCCCTTCCTTCTTCCACTCTTTCTAAAAATCAATGGAAAAAATAGCTTCAATGACTGTAAGAAATGAACAAATTCATAATAATTATTTTTAAATATCTCCCATAGTTAATAGAACAAGCAGACCAAAAATCAATATGAGCTGGCTCCAGGACAACCACCGGTGCTTATTCTCATTAATGATCACAGAACTACAAACTAAAAACAATTACTTATCAATCCACGCCCACAGATTATCAAAAATTATAAAGTCCAGCAATTCCAAGCATAGGCAAGGTTGTGGCCCAGTGAAAACTCTGATACATCCTTGCTGGTAAGGTAAGCCATATTGTGAAAACACTTCGGCCTTCTCTATCAAAGTTGAAGACGCAGTAATTCCACACCTACTCAAAATTCTTAACAACCACTATGAGACACTCCATTTCCCACAAACAGCCAAGCAAGTGTGATTCCAGGGGAGCTCTGGCCCACTGCATCGGTGGTCACAGCCACATAAGGTCAGATGGGGCACCAGGTACTTGCCTACAGGCATCCAGAGACTACTCTGTACTGAGCACAGCCAGAGTCCCAGAGACCCAAAACCATCAGGTTGGCATCACCATAATAGTGTGTACTGTTTGCATATTAGTCCTGAATTTTCCTTAAGGAAACTTTTTTATGCAATCATTAATTCATCATAAGAAAGAAAAGGAAAAGGAAAATAAATGATAATGAAAATAAACAGCTACAAGCAATGTGGAGGATTTCTCAAAAACATGGGATTGAGAGAAGACATGAAAGAATACAAACACTAAGATTTCATTCATATAAAGTTTTTCATAAGTAAAACTAAACAATACTTACAGAGAAGCATAAATCAAAAAGAAATGCAAGGAAATAATTATTAGGGTGGTGAAGGAAAAGGGTGAGGACAGGAAGGATTCTGGAGCAATGGAAATGCCCTTTATAATTTGTGTTAACTCATCTGTACATGTAATAAACTTTTATCTATGATTTTATATTTTGCAATAAAAGGGAAAAAAACAAATAAACAAAATCTCCTCCAAATAATGGCTGGGAGCAAAGGCTGTTTGCAGCTCAAATACGACAGCACGAATGACGTGATAAGATACGGGCTGAGATGTGGATCACAGCAACAAAAAGGGAAAGTGATTGGAGAATAAAAAAGCAGGGATAGTATTTATTCAATGACAGTTCAATCCAGGTTACAGAGAGAGCATCCTGGACAGAAGTGGAATTTCTTAAATCAGAGAGAAGCTTCCAAGGCGAGTTTCCCAAAGAAAAATGGGCACCAAGGGCAAAGTAAGCAAATGCACTGTTTCTTCGTTCAATTCTTCTTTTTTGTATACTAGTACTTTTGCTAAAAAGCTTCCCTTTAAGTTAACCTCAGAATGCATTCATTTAAAGTTGATCAAAAGCGCCCCGTCATGCTAGAAAATTACGCTAATAAAATTACTGTAGACTGGCCATAATGCTTACAACAGGCTGTCAAATTAAATATTTTTATTTGTCAAAAGAAGAGAGAGATTTGGGTAACTATAACCATAAAATAGAATTTGCATTTGTTAAAAGTGGTGTTAGAGAAGAATATGGAAAACATTCATAGTATATTAATAAGTAGAAAAAGTAGATTAAAAATATCACATACAATAAGATCCCATTTGGGGATAATTCAAAGGATTTACCTCACAAAATTACAGGTGGATTTTATTCCTTTTCTTCTTGTTTGTATTTTGAAACTTTCCATAATTAACATTTATTGCACCTGTAAAGAACATTAATTATATTTTTAAAAGTAATTCAAAATTACATAACTGTCAAAAATATGTATTCATGTTGTCAAAGACTAGGGAAAATCACATCAAAAGCAAAAATACTGTAGTAGTATTAGAATGGAGAATTATAGGTTTATTTCTTTCTACTTTCTTTCAATGTTACTTATATTTAAAACTAAAAGTAATATTAAGAGGCAAGCGCAGCTGGTGTGACTCACTGGTTGAGTGTTGACCTATGAACCAAGAGGTCACAGTTCCATTCCCTGGTCAGGTCACATGCCCAGTAGCAGGCTCAATCCCCAGTAGGAGGAGTGCAGGAGGCATCCAATCAATTATTCTCTCTCATCATTGATGTTTCTATGTCTCTCTACCTCTCCTATCCTCTCTGAAATCAACAAAAATATTTTAAGAGGCTAAATAAAATTTTAATTATAGAATCCTGCTTAATTTATAAAATAAGTTTATATAATATTATTTAATTTATTTTATACATTTTTACCCAAAATTCTTTCAGTGACCACATTTTTATTTAATATTTATTTATTCTACTGATAAATTTACTAATTATTTAAGCCTCACTTCTCAAACTTTTATGTGCATATGAATCACCTGGATCTTGTTGAAATGCAGATTTTGATTTAGGGGATTTGGGACAGGTCTTGTTGCTCTAACAAGTTCCCTGGTGTTGTCAATAACTTCTGGTCCAAGGGGGGATCATACAATAAGTAGCAAACATGTAAAATCACATTTATGTTCTAGCAATGAGGACTCAGGTAATTCAGATCTGATAACAAATTGTTCAGTCAACAAATACTTATTGTCCAAACCCTATGAATTTATCCCCTCTGCTACTGAAGGGGGGGAAGATCAAGGCATTATATTAAGGTAAACTTTAATGCACCTGTTTTTCTCAAAATTTAAAGGGCACCCAGGCCAGTGTGGCTCAGGTGCTTGAGCATTATCCCTTGCTCCAAAGGGTTGCCTGT